CTGCGATGACTGGGAGCATGCCATTTCACTTCAGCCTGGGCAACAGAGTGAGCCGCAAGCTCAAAAAGAAAAAAAAAGAAAGAAATCATCCCAAGATATCACAGCTAAGTGGAGGACAGGTCAGGATCTGCAGCAGAGATGCCCTGTTCCTGGGCCTGCCCTTCCTGTCTCTGCTGATACCAGTGTGGCCTCAACCAGGTATTATCTTCTTAAGGGAATCCTGTTGTGTTTCTAATTGCCAGTAGGAACAGCTTCAGTGTATGGGCTTTGTAGAGCTGGTGAAGTGTATGGAATTCAGGCAATATGCTGAATGGGGGATGCTGCAATCCTATAGGCCCCTGAGGTGATGGTTCCTCAGTTCGACATCCCTGGATGTAAGACAGGTGTGAACCTAGAGTAATGTGTGCTTTGCAGAGTTCCGAGTGATAGCTTTGTCCTAACCCTTTCCTCTAGGAAACATAGGATTGAAAGTGGTCAAAAATGATACTGTGATTAGACCAACCTCTTTATTTAAAAAAGAAAATCACAGCATGGAGTGCATGTCACTAATAGTAGCTTCCTTATGACACCCCCCCGGCTGTCCGGTCCTTTTCTTTGTTGCCCAGAGATCCGCTTTTGTCAGTAGTCTGAGGTAATGAGGCCCTGAACAACTGAGTCATGCTAATGAAAATCAAGTGAGCCTCAGGATAGGTGGAGAATGCCAGTTTCTTGCCCTCTGGGGGAAGTATCACTGTCACCCAACTCCTCTTTGGGCACTGTGAATTCTGTCTCTGTAGTCCAGCTCCAGGAGGAGCTGCATATAAATAGGAGCTGTCTTTATGAGTTTCCAGAATAAGTCACAGTCACGGGGTCTCCATTCTGGAGGGTGGGTAGGACTGCCTGGGAATCAGAAGGTTTCTTGTTTAGCAAGAAATCAGAATAAGGGGAACTAAGTGAGCAGAATTTGATGGCTTTGGGTTCAGACAGCCTGCTGTGGTGGTCACCACATTGACGCACCTTTTCCGTGGAACCTGAATGTCTTTGGTGAAGGTTTCTCTTTCTTGTACAGTGTTAGGTTCAAGCATTGTCACTGTTTGACTCTGTGGCAATTCACTTCTGCATATTCTGCCTCTAAGGGCTAAGTCTGGTCCTGCTTTTGTCCTGATCTTCCTTTCTGTTCTGGTTGCTCCTCTGGGCTGTGGCCATTACACACTGCTCTTCCAGCTTATAACTCCTGGGGATGCTCTGTCCCTCGTTGGAGCTGGGACTCTCCAGTGGTTTTCAGTAGGAAGCGTTAAGGGTATTTTGTATTTTATGTAGTTATTTATTTATTTTTTAGTTGGAGTCTCACTCCGTCGCCCAGGCTGGAGTGCAGTGGCACGCTCTGGGCCCCCACAGCCTCCACTTACTGGGCTCCAGTGATCCTCCTCAGCCTTCCAAGTAGCCAGAACTACTGACGTGTGCTACCATACCCGGCTAATTGATTTATTGTAGAGATGAGGTCTCACTATGTTGCCCAACTGGTCTCAAATTCCTGGGCTCAGGCAGTCCTCTCGCCTTGGCCTCCCAAAGTGCTAGGATTACAGGCTTGAGTCACTGTGTCCGGCCATATTTTTGTATTTTAAAAGGCAGTGTTGATGCTCAAGGATTCAAAGACTTCCATTTTGTTTTGAAACCATTGGTTGCTAAAGGGTGGACAAGGCAGAGCCAAAGTTTGAGTTTGGTAACCTGTGTTGAGCACTGTGTGAACAGGGAGTGTTCAAGGTGGTGGGGGGCAGACTTTTTTTTTTTTAGTTGGAGTCTCCCTCTGTCACCAAGGCTGGAGTGCAGTGGCACGCTCATGGCCACTGCAGCCTTGACCTGCTGGACTCAGGCTATCCTTCTGCCTCAGCCTTCCAAGTAGCTGGAACTACAGGCGCGCACCACTATGCCTGGCTAATGTTTTGATTTATTGTAGAGATGATGTCTCGCCAAGTTGTCCAGGCTGGTCTCAAACCCCTGGACTCAGACAATCCTCTCGTCTCCACCTCCCAAAGTGCTGGGATTATAGGCGTGAGCCACTGCACCTGGCCTGGGGGCAGACTCTGAATGTTAGTTTCTGCTTCAAGGATCTTCATTGTTGTAATGGATACATACACAGTTGCAGGCATGATGTGCTACAGTAGAGGGCACGTGTGAGGTATAGTGATGGCAGAAGGGGCCGATGAAGCACTTTTCCTGAAGGTCTAGGAGAGTCCTCAGAGGCTGTGCCTGATGTAGACATGGAAAGACAGTGTGGTTTGCCTGGCAGTCAGGGGAAGAGAACCAGGTGTTCTTAGCAGAGGGTCTGGGTCTGCAGTCACAGGCATGAGAAGAGCTTTCATCTGACACTCATGGGGTATGTGGGCATTGTTGAAACATGCATGATTTAGATATCATCAGCCTCATGCTCACAAAGCAGAACCAAAGACGTATCAAAACAAAATGCAGAGGTTTTATTTGCTAAGGAATTTTTCAGAGTGACCAGACACGGTGTACCAACATACAGTAGTACAGTAGATTCCACATTCCACTGTCTTTATTCCTACATGTCCATTTGTAATTCATTTGTCCATGAAGTGGCAAGCCTATGATGAAGGTGCCACCTTGACTGTCGTTTTGCTGATGTGCCTCACCTTGCTCTGTGTGTGTCTCATCTACATGTCACACCCTGTCTTGGTCGGTTTACCACCAGCTTTCCTGGGATTGTCTGGGATTATAGCTAAGGGGCAGGCTTGGTGGGCATCACAGTAGTTTTCCTGTGAAATGGTGATTTTCAGAGGGGTCTGTAAGATGTGTAAGAACAGAACCCTGCCCATGCTCTAGAGGCCAGTTTTCAGCCCACCCACCTGAAAATCTCTCCAGGGATGAAAGATTTCACTGATGATTGTAGAGACAGAAATGAGATTGATAATTGGTGCTCATAGGATTATCTTTTGGCTAGCCTTAGTAGCTTCCTTCATTTCTGTGATTTAAACATTGTTTTAGTCTTGAAATATTTATATATGCCAGGCACCATGAGTGAACTGACTGCCAGAATCTTTTGTTTGCAGTAAGGTTTTGATTAACTGTATTGTATTTATAGCTATTAATCTTGTCACACATTTCTACCATACTTTCTAGTTACAAATCCTTAATGCTAGCCTTTTGCTAAATAGCATATATAGAATCTTTTAATATTCTTGACAGTATTGTTACTAAATCACACTGTCTGTGGCCTGTGTGATGCAAGATGGCAGAGAGGAACACATGGGTTATAGTTATGAGCAAATACTCACAGGTCCACACCCTCTTAAATCAGTCACTGATTGTGTCGGTAGACTGAGTTACAACCACCACCAACGGGGTGCCATCTTTCACAGGTGACCAGTAATAGAGGGCAGATTGAGAGTAGAAGCTCCTGGAACAAAAGGTACCCTGCACGTGCTGCTGGGGACTAGTGGATACCCCACCTGAGGACCACCCACCTGGGCTCCTCGACTGTAGTTTCTGTGTGAGCTTTGTAAGCTAGAGATAAGGGTTATGTAATGTTTATCGTGAAACATGTTAAACACAGATCCACAGGATAAGATGAAAAATGTGAAACCTATTTTATTTTTTGAGTTGGTGTCTCACTCTGTCGCCCAGGCCGGAGTGCAGTGGCACACTCATGGCCACCGCAACCTCGACCTGCTAGGCTTAAGCAATCCTTCCGCCTCAGCCTTCTGAGTAGCCAGAATTACGGGCACGCGCTGCCACACCTGGCTTATTTTTTTTATTTATTGTAGAGATAAGGTCTCACCAAGTTGCCCAGGCTAGTCTCGAACCCCCCCGGGTTCAGGCAGTCCTCTTGCCTCAGCCTCCCAAATTGCTGGGATTACAGGCTGAGCCACTGCACCCGGCTAAAACCTATTCTATTTTATTTTTTATTTTTTTGGAGTTGGAGTCTCACTCTTGTCACCCAGGCTGGAGTGCAGTGGCACGCTTACAGCCACCGCAGTCTTGACCTGCTGGGCCTAGGCAATCCTTCCACCTCAGCCTTCCAAGTAACTGGAACTACAGACGCACGCCACCACGTCTGGCTAGTTTTTGTAATTTATTGTCGCCTAGGTCTCATCAAGTTGCCCAGGCCGGTCTCCAAACCCTGGGCTTATGCAGTCCTCTCACCTTGGCCTTCCAAAGTGCTGGGATTATAGGCTGAGCCACCGCGCCCAGCCCAAAACCTATTTTAAAGGAAGTAAATGCCAACACATCTACAGAATTGATAGAAGCTTATACTAGTATCTGTTGACAAGAAAATGATTTAATAATATCATCTTTACATTTCAAAGTTGGTAATCAGTTGCCAAACATTGGGCAAAGTTTTACTTACTGAAATGTAGCCTTGCAGGATGGGTTGAGAGGGAGCTGATGCAGCTTATGATGAAGATGGGAATGGTCACTGCTGTGACATGCCCTCTCTCCCCCCCATTCCAAGTCAGCATCCTTTCTGTGTGTCCTTCTACCCCCTGGATATCGTTCCATGTCCTGTGGCAACTGCTGCTTTAATTCTGCTTTCTAGATCTGAGCTGTTCAACTTGCAGGGTAGGGCTACCTTGCCAGAGCTGTGACCTAGGAGGGGAGCTTGTCCTATGCCCACCTAGTCCTGTCAGTCCAATATAGAAGCCACTGGCCATGTGTGACTGTTTAAATTCAAAATAATTGAATTTAAATACAATTTAAAACTTGGTTGTTCCCGTGCTATAGCACAGGTAAGGAGCTGCTCTGACCTGGCAGAATTTCTTTAACCAGCCCCAATACAGACATTAAGCACCTTCAGGAAAAGGCCCAGGTGCGCCTGGTTCAGCATTTTTATCTTTAAAACCTAGGATGTTTTAGGTGCTCAAGGATTGTTTGTTAAATGAGTAAATTCCAATACATACTCAAATCAGGAACCAAATGTTAGTTTTGTAATTGTTACTTAAAATCTGACAAATGAATTTTCTATTATGAAAAAGGTATTATCTTTTTTTCTCTTTCTCTCCTGTCAGGTATGATATTAGTTGGTTTGACTTCAAACCATTTGTAAATCTTTAAGTCTTCCCCTGAAGATGGAAAACAAAGTGGGATCCTTCCCAGGAGCTCTTGGCTATTGCTGATGGCAGAAACCAAACTCAGCCTCAGCTCACGTGTAGCCCTTCAGCATCAGCTCAGCCAGTGTCGTCCTGACCATGGATGGCGCGTTGGCTGAGCACAATGGCCTTGTGGAGGACAGATCCTGCAGTGGCACCTCAGCTCTGCCCGAGGCCCCTCTAAAGCCCTCAGGCTTGCTGGCACCACCTGACCAGCTGGACAGAGCCCACCGTAAGTCATCAGGTTACTCTGTGCTGCTGACAGGAGGATGTGGTTAGCTTGTGTTTTGGAGGACTGTGGTATTATGACTGTTCATGAACTTTTCACTTACTAAGTGCATTGTTAGTAAGTGAATGGGTGCTTGTTGGCTGCGGGTTATTTATGCATCAGAAATAAAGGGTGAGTGGGAATGGTGCTCACACCTGTAATCTCAGCACTTTGGGAAGCCGGGGTAAGAGCACTGCCTGAGCCCAGGGGTTTGAGTCCAGCCCAGGCAACATGGCAAGACCTTGTTACTACAATAAATAAAAAAATTAGATGCGGTGGCATGTGCCTATAGTCCCAGCTACTTGGAAGACTGAGACAGAAGGATCACCTGAGCCCAGCAGGTTGAGGCTGCGGTATCTGTGATCGCGTCACTGCACTCTAGCCTGGGCAACAGAGTGACACTCTGACTCAAAAAAAAAAAAAATGAGAGTGAGCTGGGTATGGTGACTCAAAACCTGCAATTCCACCTACCCAGGAGGTCAAGGCCAGCCTAGGTAACATAGCAAGACCCCATCTCAAAAAAAAAAAGTAAAAATAAAGGGTGAATTTTTCACTCAGTTCTCATGACCCTTCCTGATCAGGTGGTATCAGTGCAGTATGTGCTGTAGATTACATATATACTAATTTGTTAGCAGAAATTGTGTTCTACTTCTTGTAAAATGATGTTCAGGCACTTAAGATAGCGTTGCTGAGTGTTGTCACATAAATGCCAGGTGAAGCAGGTAAGAGCATACAGACCAAAGACCGTGGATTCTGAATTAGATAGACATGGAACCACCTCTTCGATCTGACACTCAAGAGTGATATGCTCCTGAGCAAGATACTTAATTTATCTCACCTTCAATCTTTTCTTCTAATAGACAGAAGATTAACGGTGCCCTACATTATAGGGTGGTTTGTGAGGATCAAAAGAAATGAGGCACATGCCATGCCAAGCGCTTGGAGTATCTAGGGCGTGTCTAGGAGTGGAGTGTCTAGGAATGTTGTCATCTTATCAACATCACGAGTTGTTTATCCATGATTAGGCTTGTGCTTGGATGCAGTGAGGTCTTCTATCTGTTGGGCCTTTTTACTTTTAGATTTTTTTTTCTTTGAGCTGTGGTCTCTGTCACCCAGGCTGGAGTGCAGTGGCACACTTACGGCCACCCCGACATCGACCTGCTGAGCTCAGGTGATCCGCCTCAGCCTTCCAAGTAGCCGGAACTACAGGCATACACTACGCCCGGCTACTTTTTGATTTATTGGAGAGACGAGGTTTCGCCAAGCTGCCTGGGCTGGTCTCAAACCCACGGACTCAGGCAGTCCACTCACCTCAGCCTCCCAAAGTGCTGGAATTATAGGCTGAGCCACTGAGCCCAGCCTAGATATATTTTTTTTCTTTTTTTGAGTTGGAGTCTCACTCTGTCTCCCAGACTGGAGTGCAGTGGCCGCTCCTGGCCACCGCAGCCTCGACCTGCTGGGCTCCGGCGATCCTTCCGCCTCAGTATAGTATGAAGCCGGGCATGGTAGCTCATACCTGTAATCCTAGTGCTTTGGGAGGCAGAGAAAAGAGGATTGCCTGAGCCCAAGGTTTTGAGACCAGCCTGGGTAGTTTGGTGAGACCTCGTCTCCGGAATAAGTCAAGAAAAATTAGCCGGGTGTGGTGGGGCATTCCTGTAGTTCCAGCTACTTGGAAGGCTGAGATGGAAAGATTGCCTGAGCCCAGCAGTTTGAGGCTGTAGTGGCCATAAGCATGCCACTGCACTCCAGCCTGTGTGACAGAGTGAGACTCTGACTCAAAAAAAATAAAATTAAGTGTAGTATGATGCTCAGAAAAGTCGTTGTTATGTAAACAAAAAGGTTGAGAGACTCTCCTAGACCTATAAAACCATCAGAAAGTGGTATCAGGCCCTTGTGTACATGTACAGTGGCTGACGCTTGTAATCCCAGCAACATGCCTTCTCTTTCCAGGTGCCAGTCTTGAGGCAGACCATGCTTCCAAAGAAGGAGAAGGCCTGGATGAACCTAGCCCAGGAGGCCTCTGTCAGAATGGGCCAACACTGCAGTTCCCGGACCCTCCATTGTCTCTCGATCCCACTATGACCCCAGTGGGCCCTGATGCCTCTCCAGGTGTGACTGGTTTCCATGACAACCTAAGGAAGTCTCAGGGAACTAGTGCTGAGGGCAGTGTTAGAAAAGAAGCTTTGCAGTCTCTCAGACTCAGTCTTCCTATGCAAGAAACGCAACTGTGTAAGCATCCATTCCTGCTGTCTCTTCCCTCCCCTCCATGTCAGTGTCGTTCGGCCCCCACAGAGCAGCTGCCCTGAGCACTCACTGTCTGAGCAGTCATGTTCCTTTACCATGTGCTATCTTAGCCCTATGGCAGGTTGTGTATTTACAAGAGAGCTTCACTTTATTTTTTAAGTTGGGGTCTTTCTCTTGCTCAGGCTGAAATGCGGTGGCATGATCACAGCTCCCTAAAGCCTTGACCTCTTGGGCTCAGGTGATCCTTCCCCCTCAGCTTCCCAAGTAGCTGGGACTACAAGTATGTGCCCCACACACAGCTGAATTTTTCATTTTTCTGTAGAGACGTGGCCTTGCTATGTTGCCTAGGCTGATCTCCAACTCCTGGCTCAAGCAGTCCTCCTGCCTTGGCCTCCCAGAGTGTTAGGGTTACAGGCTTCAGTCACCATGTGTGGCCTGGGCCTTCTTTTCTGTGAATTGTTTCTTCGTGTGTTTGACCCATTTTTCTTTTGGATTGTTTACCTTTTTCTTCTGAGGCATTATTTTACTAAGGCTATAATGTGTTTGTAGAAAGACTTTCTAAAAACAAAAAAACAAGAAACAAGATAAACTGAAATTAAACTGCATTTCACGCTTGTTTACCAAAAAAAAATTCTGAAAACTAGTTGCCATTATTTAAATTGAGAGATGACATGTAAAAGCCTGGATTTCTAATCTTAACCATTTTGTGAGCTCTGGCCCAGGTGCCCACATGGCCACACCAGCTGGGCCTGTGCTGTCCCCTCCTTGGGCGTGCACTTGGGACCTGCTCCTGCGGGCACCCTGGCTCCAAGCCTGTCTCATACCTTGTGTCATTGAGCTTCTGTGTTTAGACTGTTTTGCTGATTTGTGTACGTGGCCAATGGCTGTAGGCCTGAGTTTGCCCCTTATGGTCTTGTCATCTGGGGCACTAACCTTGTGAATAGTCTAGAGATCTCAGTGATAAAATGTACAAACTAGTGACTGTGGTGAATCCTCAGTGAAATTCTTAGTGGCTACCCAGATTTTAGGTATTATTTAACATAATAACGTAATAGACACTTACCTTCTCAGCATCCACGTCTAAAGGAGTGCTGTCTATAAAAAGCTGTCAGATGATCACATTTGTCTGCTGTGATCAACACTGAGACCACGTGGTGCCATTCCACAGGCATGGCTGCTGATGTGCTGAAGAGGGGTGAAACACAAATGCTGCCCTGGAGCTGCAACTAGAACACCGTTGTGTGTGCTACTCAAGCCTTTCATGGCACAAAATACAAGTTTTGGGTTTTAGATAGTTTGAATTCGTTTTTGGCCCAAAGGCCTTCATTTCCCTGTCCTGTCCTTGAGCACAACCCTGGACTGGAGTTTCATCTGGAAACTGAGGTAACCCAGCCTCGAGGGCAGATACCTACTCAGTCTTTACTCTGCAGTGAGGCCTGATGCCAGACTTCAACAGTTTTATCCACCAGCTCACACAAATACCCTTGATTTTAGTAAACCTTACTAGAACATGGGTTGTTATTTCAGAAATTGGGGTGAACTATAGATCAAATTAGAACCCCAGGCTGGGTGTTGTCCGTGGTTCACGCCTGTAATCCCAGCACTTTGGGAGGCTAATGCGGGAGGATTGCTTGAGCCCAGGAGTTTGAGACCATCCTGGGCAACATAGTGAAACCTTGTCTCTACAAAAAAAAATTTAAAAATTAGCTGGGCATAGTGGCACATGTCTGTAGTCCCAGCTACTTTGGGAGGTTGAGGTGGAAGGATTGCTTAAGTCCAGGAGCTGTGATGAGCCGTGATTGTGCCACTGCACTCTAGACTGAGCAACAGGGTGACACCTTGACTCCAAAAATAATAATAAAGAGGAAGTAAATGAGAGCCCCAGGTGTCATTGCATAACGAGAACATGGTGTCATGTGACTCCACATTCCCTGGTCCTGTAGATAGAGCATCATTATGTGTAACTCCTTCATGACTGTTTTCATGTGCTCCTCACCACAGAGTCATGAGAGCCTTCTGTAAAGTCAGAGCAATGCTGCAGCCCAGCAAGAGCTGAGAGCACCTGTGCCTCAGTGCTGGGCATTGGCCCCAGTTTTACCTTAGTTCTTTTTGTTAAAAGTCACTTGCCATCCCCTGCTTTACCAGTTGAAACCTCACAGGAGGTAGTGTGCTCATGTCACGAACCCAGACCCAGTGTGTGGCCAGCGTGTCTCCACAAGGTAGATTCTGTCTGTAGGCAGTGTCCAGGGTACACAGTTTTCTCCTGATCTAGAAATGGTCCTTTCAAACTGGATGGCTGTACTAAAAACATACTGGTAATTAAATGCAAAATGACCAAGTAATGGTTTGAGATTGTTCTGTGTCCTGGTGCTTTATAAGTTTCTAAGTGGTCACTTTCCCACCTCAGGCTCTACAGAGTCTTCCTTGCCCCTGGAGAAGGAGGAGCAGGTCCGACTTCAGGCTCGGAAGCGACTGGAGGAGCAGCTGAAACAGTACAGAGTGAAGCGCCAGCAGGAGAGGGTGAGTTTTCTGAACACACTCATGAGAAACTTCACGTGCCTCTAGGGACTGCTCTTGGTTTCTCTGTGCTGGATGCACTGGGGGCCCTGTGCAACTGTGGATGTGCTCCTCAGGCAGTTCCCTCCTCCAGGGAGAGTTCAGCAGGAGTCTCATTTATGCCTTGTGCTGATACCGCCTCTTTGGAACCAGCATATCTTCCTAAATCTGCTGTTTGAAAAGCAAAGAGGGTGAAGACCTTGGAGACATTGCAAGTTTGGTTTCAATCATCCCAGTAAAGCGGATATTGCAATTGCAATAAAGCAAGTCACACAAATTTTTTTGTTTCCCAGTGCATGTAAAAGTTTGCACTTTTATACTGTAGTCTATTAAGTGTGTACTAGCATTAGGTCTAAACAGTGCATGTGCTTTAATTTTAAAATACTCTATTGCTAAAAAAGTCTATCGGCCATCTGAGCCTTGAGTGAGTCATAATATTTTTTTGTTTTTTGAGTTGGAGTCTCACTCTGTCGCCCAGACTGGAGTGCAGTGGCCGCTCCCGGCTACCGCAGCCTCAACCTGCTGGGCTCTGGCGATCCTTCTGCCTCAGCCTTTCGAGTAGCTGGAACTACAGGCGTGCGCTACCACGCCCGGCTAATTTTTTTATTTATTGTAGAGATGAAGTCTTGTTGCCCAGGCGGGTCTCGAACCCACGGGCTCAGGCAGTCCACTCACCTCAGCCTCCCAAAGGCGTGGGATTACAGGCTGAGCCACTGAGCCCGGCTGAGTCATAATATTTTTGCTGGAGGAAGGTCTTGCCTCTATTGGATGGCTGCTGACTGGTCAGGGTGGTTCCTGAATGTTGGGGTGACTGTGACATTTTCTTAAAATAAGACAAAAATGAAGTTTACCATATTGCTTGACTCTTTCTTAAAGATTTATCTGTAGCATGTGTTGCTATTTGATAGCTTTTTACCCACAGTAGACCTTCTTTCAAGATTGGAATCAATCCTCTCAAACTCTTCCATTGCTGTATCAGCTAAATTTATGTAATATGCTAAAGCCTTGGTTATGTCCGCAACATTCACAGCATCCTTCACGAGGAGTAGATTTCATCTCCAGAAACTACTTTCTTCGCTCATTCATAAAAAGCCACTCCTCATTTGTTCAAGTTCAAACAAATGCAGTAATTCTGTCAAATCTTTAGGCTCTACTTCTAATTCCAGCTTTCTTGCTATTTGTACCACATGTGCAGAGACTTCCTCCACGGAAATCTTGAATCCCTCAAAGTTATCCATGAAGACTAACTTTTTCAAACTCCTGTTAATATTGATATATTGGCTATGGATAGTGGCTCATACCTGTAATCCCAGCACTTCGGGAGGCTGAGGTGGGTGGATCACTTGAACCAGGAGTTTGAGACCAATCTGGGCAATATAATCCCATCTCTGCAAAAAATTAAAAAAAATTTTTTTTAAATTAGCCAAATGTGGTGACTGTAGTAGCTGTAGTCCCAGCTACTCAGGAAGCTGAGGCAAGAGGATCTCTTTGAACCTGGGAGCTTGTAACTACAGTGAACCATGATCATGCCACACTGTACTCCAGCCTGAGTGGCAAAGTGTGACCCTGTCTCAAAAAAGTAAAAAGAAGAAAAAGAAATTGATATTTGACCTTCTCCCATCAATCACAAATGTTTTTGGGTTTTTTTGGGGGGAGGGGTTGGTTGGAGTCTCACTCCACTGCCCAGGCTGGAGTGCAGTGGCACACGCACGGCCACCCTAGCATTGACCTACTGGGCTCAGGCAATCCTTCCACCTCAGCCTTCCAAGTAGCTGGAACTACAGGCATGTGCTACCATGCCCTACTAATTTTTTGATTTATTGTAGAGATGAGGTCTCACCAAGTTTCCAGACTGGTCTCGAACCTCTGGGCTCAGGCGTTCCTCTCATCTCAGCCTCCCAAAGTGCTGGGATTACAGTCTTGAGCCACCGCGCCCAGCCACAAGTGTTCATAATGGAATCTAGAATGGTGAATCTTTTCCAAAAGTTTTTGGTGTATTTTGCCCAGATCCATCAGAGGCATCACTATCTCTGGCAGCCACAGCCTTATGAAGTGTATTTCTTAAACAGTAATCCATGAATGTAAAAATTATTTCTTGATCCGTGGACTGCAGAAAGAATGCTGTGTTAGCAGGCATGAAAACAACGTTCTCCTTGTACATCTCTAGAAGAGCTCTAGGGTATCAGTTGCACTGTCAGTGAGCAGTAATATTTTGAAAGGCATCTTTTTCTCTGATCAGTAGATCTCAACAGTGGGCTTAAAATTACCAGTAAATTATGCTGTAAATGATATGCTGTCATCCAGACTTTGTTGTTCCATTTAGAGAGCACAGGCAGAGTGGATTTAGCATAATTCTTTTTTTTGAACTGGAGTCTCATTCCATTGCCCAGGCTGGAGTACAGTGGCATATTCACAGCCACCCCAGCGTTGACTCAACCTGCTGGACTCTGGCAATCCTTCCACCTCAGCCTTCCAAGTAGCCAAAACCACAGGCGGGTGCTACCACTCCTGGCTACTTTTTTATTTTTATTGTAGAGACGAGGTCTCACCAAGTTGTCCAGGCTGGTTTCGAACCTGTGGGCTCAGGCAGTTCACTCGCCTCGGCCTCCTAAAGTGCTGAGATTACATAGGTGCTGAATGGTATTTGAAAAAAATTCAAAATTCCTGATTCAAAAATACGAAACAAACAAACAAAAACTCTAAACTAGGAAGTAGAAGGATATTTCCTTATTTACTATTAGGAATGCAATTCAGACATTGTATTCAGATGGTACAACATGATAAAGTCCCCTCCTGTTTCTAGTCTGAGATACACTGTGAGAAGGTCTGTATGCCTTGGCCTCTATCAGCAGTGCTTGGTGAGAAAGTTTATCCTTTACTTTGCCTCCACATTACGTTTCCCACCAACTGCACCCTGAGCTCTTTCTGTATCAGTACAAACGACTGAGATCCATCTTATTCTTTGTAATAGTGTCTGTGTGTGTACCAGCATTTAACTAACCAGTTCATAGTGACTGACATTTTGGTTATTTTCTAATGTTTGAAATAACAAAGAATACTGAATACTGCAATGAATGTTTTGTATCTTGGCTTACTTTTGTGGGTAAATCTTTCAGTGGAAGGTTTTTTTCATTTATTTATTTATTTATTTATTTTTTGAGTTGGAGTCTCACTCCGTCTCCCAGACTGGAGTGCAGTGGCACCCTCACAGCCACCCCAGCATTGACCTGCTGGGCTCCGGTGATCGTTCCACCTCAACCTTCCAAGTAGCTGGAACTACAGGCGTGCACTACCGCACCCAGCTTATTTTTTTATTTTTTT